CATGTAACATATAGTTGATAACTTTTCGTGGTTCCAATCCCTAGCGATTTCTAATCCTAATTTATGGTCCCGCATAATTCGTTTAAGATTTGCAGTACGCGAGTAATTTCTGATACTAACCCGTCAGGTAACCCGACAGATAACCTGTCGCCGGGTGACCCGGGTGAAGATTTTTTAGACGGGTCAATTCACTACTCGTGATTTTATTTGCCGATAAACCAATCAAATTGTAGTATAACAACTCTATGTCATTAAAGCTTTATTTCAGCATCGTTATATATATATATAAAGAACGTTATTAATACGCGAGGAATGCATTTAATGCCTCTACAATTTTCTATAAAGAAATAGTGAGTTTATTATTGTGAAATCAATAAATTTTATCTACTCAATTAATAAACACAAATCCTTTTCGCCTTCTTGATTAAATGTATGAAATTTGAAGGCTTCGATTTGAAAATAAGACCCTACCAAAATCCACCTATACTCTTTTGCTAACAACAATGATCGTAAATCCTAATTTAACCCTTAAAAAAGCATCACAAAATCGAACAGATTTCAACGTCATTCTCAACGTTAAATACCAATAACTACTAAATATTAAAGTCACCTATCGTGACAATGCTACTAAACTTTGTACTGTTGTTCAATAATAAGCCTAAGATTAATAATCAAATAAAAATTTAAAAAATAAAACCGAAAATAGTAAAAAATAGTAAAAACATAGAAAAGAATAAACATATCAACCTATTTTTTATAAGCTGCAAACGTCTTTGCGAAATTAAAAAAAAAAAAAAGTTTAAATCGTATAGTTTTAAACAGATAACAAACTAAATATAAAGCTTCAAACTACCCAAAAGTAGCTCTCTTTTAATTTCCGAATTACTTCGCCGATTACAAAATTACTTTAACGTCTTGTAAAGCATTTCTATCGCGAATTCATTCTCGTGACAGAAAATCGTTACTTTAATAAGACTTAGTATGACGAGATGATCTACAAAAATCAGCCAATCACAATAAAGTTCGCTTTGCTCCTGACGTTTAATCCTGATTCACGTGCATTTGTATGGTGTTAGTCTTTTGACTTAAAAATTATGGCATATCGACTTCCTTTTGGAAAATTACTTCATCATCCAGCAAGGAATCTCTTGATATTAGTATATGGATCACATTTTCAAGCATTAGATTCAAGGTCATTATTTTCTTTTTTGCACAAATTTCACATATAAAAAATAAAATGCCTAATAATTTTAATATAAAATTTTATAGCACAGGTGCAATAATAGCTAGCACACGTACTTTATATTCAGATAATGCCGATCATGAGCCTACAACACCTCAAGTAAAATATATTTCAACTAGTGATGTGCAAGAAGCTTCTGTAAGGGCCATTACATTTCACGATAAAGTTGATGGATCTTTACTCGCGTCAAGTGGTGAGGATAAGCTTTTGAAGGTGTGGGATATTAAAGAATGGAAGTTACTTAGTTCGAGGTAATTCATCATAGCATTCTCGATTTATATAAAATTTATTAATTAATATCATTTGGCTATAGATCAGTTCCGAAACGCGTCGTGTCCATTGCGTTCAATAACGATGGGTCACAAATTTTAACTGCAGACAAATTTGGAGACGTTTATAGGTAATCATCAAATTTGTCTCAATAATTGTGGTGGCTGAAGCTAAAAATTTTTAAAAAAAACTTTTTTTTGAGAAGTTAGAATTTAGGGTTAGAATTATTAATAAAAGAGTATAAGTGGGTTTTATTAGATTTTATAGATCCGAATAGAGACCCTAAATTTTAGCTTCAATTTCAACCTCCGCAATGATTACGTGAACTATTTAATAACAAAATAATTTCTTTAACCTATAGTTATCCAACAAATCCTGAGAATACTTCAGAATTATTATTAGGTCACGTATCTATGATCACCGATATGGTAATAAAAAAGAGTGAATACTAAAGTTCAGTTTCCAACAAATTCATTTTGTAATCCTTTTTCAATAATTGTTTTAAACATAGGTGCTGACACCAAACAATAAATTTGTTATCACAGCTGACCGTGACGAACATATACGCGTCAGTCAATTTCCCAAAGGATATAATATCGAATCTTATTGTTTTGGTCACACACAGTAAATAGTTATTTAGTTCAATAATTATCTGTAATAGGACAAATGTTATTTAGTTTATGACATTATTTTCCATTGTTTTTTTTTTACAGATTTCTGTCAACGTTACACATATTACCTTGGGACTCTGATTTATTACTTTCTGCAGGTGGCGATGACTTTATTGCTTTATGGGATTATGTACCAGGGAGGTTAATACAAACACTTGATATTAAAAACTTTATACAAAATCAGGTACATTTCATTCTAAATATATATTATTTCTGCATTATTACGATTTTATCGTCATTATCTTTTTATATCAAGATCATTGAAGCAAACGAATCAAACATTGATGCCACGAATACCATACCTGAATCAAAGAATATTGCAGTCATGTCTATTTCAAGCAGCATTGTTATGCAGCATATTGCTATAATCGTAGAAAAGTATGTTTTTTTTTTTTTTGATGTAAATAGTTTAATCAACCTTAATTTCACATTTGACGTAATTACACGCGTTCAATATAAAGGTTTCCAGGGGTATTAATATTAAATTGGGATGCAGAGCAACGCCATGTTAAGTATATGCAAACGTTATCACTTAATGCAAATCCATTGGATTGTGCATATGATCTCCGAGGAAATTTGTGGGTCTCGAGTTCATCAAAAGATGGTGGTGACATTGATGAAGGTTTAATAACTCTTTTCCTAAGACAAGACAATAATAAGGTTGGCAAAAAAAGATTATACAATATTTAGTGTATTAACGGAATTAATATTTAAATAATATTATTCTTAAATAGTACGAAAAGGTTTCAAGAGATCACCAATTGGTTTATCAAATAAATAAATTTGGAACTATGAAAAGTAAGTAGTAAAAATAATCAAAATATATTATTCGTGAAGGTAACAAATTATTTCAAAATTCTGCAGTTGATGAGCTTCCGGATCTATACACTACCAGTCAACTTCGTAAAGATCCTACTGATTGGAGAAAACAAAAAAACCAAAATGAAGAAGAAGAAGTTCCAGAGGAAGCTAGTGAAGAATCCACCAATGAAACGATATCGTTACCGAAAAAGAAAACATTACCAAAAGGGGAGAGTAAAAGAAAGAAAAAGAGAATCAGAACAGAATAACATGTTTTATGATACAAAAATAGATTGGTGTGAATTGTTTACCATTAGTTCTTACAAAGGTTACAAAGTGGAAAAACTAAGAATGTGTAACATTTTTCTAATACCGAGAGATATCACCGACATACATAAGTCGGTTAGCAAAAACAAAAACTGCGTTAAATAGAAATAAATTATGTAATTTATTAGAATAATGATCGAATATACGTTATATGTTGTATTATTAAATAATATTATGTAACAATAACATTGGTCGTTTTTCCGATTTATCAGCTTCAGTTTGCTTAGGATTTATTATTTTTAATAAATGAACGATTCATTACTAATAGATTTGTTGAGCATAATAAAAATTGTGAATAACAATATTACCAATCAGGGTTGACTAACAAAATTGTTAATAAATTTAAGGTTTTGCACTCCTGATTGCCATTACATAAAGATCAATTATGAGCAATAAGTAATACGATATATCTGATATGTAAAATATTATTATCGTTATCAGTTATCATTATTATTATTACTACGTACGTATTATTATTATTATTATTATTATTATTATTACTGTATATATTATATGGTTATTATTATTATTACTACTGTATATTTATTATTATTCCTATAATCCGTATATTATTGTTGTTATATAAGTATTATATCATCGTTATTATTATCATAACCTTATTATATTACTACGTAGAATATTTATATATTATTAAATATTATCATTATTCGTTATTATTACAAACCAATATGTATTAAAAAAAAACAGATATTCAATATAGAAAAATTTAACAATATTTAACTCGAATATCATTTAACACTAATAAAGGAAGAAAAGAACAGACCAATGAGTAACGACCAATGCGGGTAAATGTACAAGCCCCTTAAAATAAAGCACATGAAATATTTCCAAAAAAACTTTGATAATTGGACTTTTTTACTTTACTGTGTAAGTAAATTTTCTAAAAAAAGTTGCTCCTGCATACAATGACAATATACTAAAGGTTATCATTAGTTAAAATCAACAAAAATAAGTATAAATATTTGATGATCAGTTTAGATTAAAAATTGGATCATATGCATGTTTAGTTTTGCATAAAGCAAGCGCACATTTTGCAGAGAGATAACCATACTTTAAACAGAAATTAACAGGTTTCGTTCATCAACATTAAAGGTTCGATCATATGACATACCGGTAGAAATCAGGAAATTAATGCGGGAATTCAATGGTAATCTTATTTCACGAGGCATCTGGTTTTTTTTTTTTGAGTTTGCTAATCGTAATGCGAATAAAAAAAAAATCACGTCTAATAATATTCGGATCAAAAACGTTATCGTGTGATCAAAAATTTTTTTTTTTTTTTGAATTTTTTTATTTCTGATTAATACGTAAGAATTTTTCTAATGAAAAAGATTTTGTATACGGATTAGGCATTAAACAAATTATGAAGGAACGATTAATAATTTTTCCCGAAACATAATAACATTCCCAGAGAATAAAAAAATAAAGAAAAAAATATATATATATATATATGTAAAATGAAAAAAAAAACTTATATACATTTATCGTTACAAAATCCTTGATTATACATAATGAAACGTAAAATGATGTGTGTGCGTAGAAAGAAATATGAATGAATTAGGTAAAAAAGATTTATACAAAAGAAAATAGTAGGAATAAAAAAATATACATTAAGTACGAAAAAAAAAACATATCAATATTTGATTATGGTTTCATAGAAAAAATATCTATACTTTAATTGCTTGAGATGATGCTGTAGATTGAGCAAGGTTGGAATAATTTTGAGAATATCTGTTTTTAGCACGATCATGCATAAGTAGTGTACTGGTATTAGTGGATTTTTGTGCAAGACCAGATTGGGAGGATTGTGAACCAAGAGGACTTGGTATTGAAGAATCATAAGTAAAACTTGAAGCTAAATTTGTTAAACTTGGTGTTCTTGATCTTGATAGCATCCTTAAACTTTGTTGAATTGCAGGGCTGCTTAATGAATTAACGGGAGTTGTAGGAGAACGAGTGGAAGTGGGCGTATTTGGTATGGAACTTGGGGATGGCAAATTTTGTATTTTCAATGGAGCCGGAAGCCTTGCAGGGGGTGTTATTGGACTACTAGGAATGCTTGATGATTTGATACTACTAGGTGTGTTGGGCCTTGAAGAAATAAAAGTAGCTGACATGCTAGATGTTCTCGAATGAACAGGCATTTTTGAAGACATTGGTGTGAAAGGACTAGCAGGAGGAGTCTTTGGAGAACCAAATGGACTGGAGCCAAATGGACTGGAGCCAAGTGGACTGGAGCCAAATGGACTAGAGCCAAATGGACTGGAGCCAAATGGACTGGAGCCAAATGGACTGGAGAATTTGGGACTTCCGAATTTAGGTAAACTTGACGTAGGAATTTTAGAATGGATAGCCTTGGTACACTCAGACTTCATGTTATTAACGAGTTTTAATATACGACCATATACACGTTCAAATTCTTTATCACCAAAATTTTTTAAAATTTTTGAATTTTCAGAACTATCGTCTAATCTGTCCGAACCAATGTCTTCACAAACTTCTTCACAAATATCTTCACAAACATTTTCGACATCGAAATCGGAAACATCCTTTCTCTCGGTAATTTCCGTTTCAGCCAACAATTTTCGTAATTTATCGCGCTCCTCATTTGACTCTTTTAAAGAAATTTCTAACTCGGCGACTCTCGCCTCTAAAAGGGTATTAGCGGTTCTTAAGAATGTATATTCTAATTCTTCTACACGTTGTTCTAACGAAGATATCCTTTTTGATTCTTTCTCATTAGTAGGAAGTTGGTGAACCATGGTTGAATATAGTAATATTTTTCTTAATACTTTTGTTTAATACTTTGTTTAATACTTTGTTTAATGAAGTTTATTTACAAAAAAAATTTTGCCGCGGACATTCAGAATATTCGTGGTGAGTGGCTTTTATTAAATTTAGCAGACTGCATTAGACTGTACGATGATTGGAAGTTCAAGGACATTACCGGTTTTGTTTATCGACTTTGCCACGCATCATTTCCGATACTATCCACAGAATATCTTTTGAAATTATTAAAGTTACAAAAAAAAAAAGTGTATAAATTATATTAAATTATATTAAATTATATTAAATTATATTAAATATTATTAAACATTAATATTTATTATATAAAAATTATATTAAATTATATAAATTATAATGTACACACATTTGAAGTAATTTACAGTAAACCGTAAATAGTAGTGTAAACATAAACAGCACTGTAAAGTTATAAATGTAGTGAACTATTAATCCATAAGTGGTGTACTATTTGGTGCACATATAAGTTTATGTTTTACCCATTTACTTTCTTTGGCTCCACCATTGTGTAAATATAAGCTTCCCCAATCTTTATTCGCTGATTGATTCTGTACAATTGTGTTACCTTAACTATTCTTAACTATTGCAACTGACTTTTCATATTTCTACCCCCCTAGAAATTTTATTACACCATTGTACACTCAAACTTACGTGACAGTGAATATAGTAATGATAATGATATAGATATAACATGATAACATGATAAAATCAGGATTTAAAAATTTCCGTATTTTATATAATATCAATATAGTAAATAGTAAATAGTTATACCGGTATAGTAATATATATATATAGAATATATATACATATAGATGAAAAAAAAAAAAAACCGGTAAATCCGGATGATTCTCTGGTCGTTTATCTTGAGTCAGGTGAACTAGATGAATTAGAAAGATAGATCAGATGAATACGCCTAATTGAAATTGATTTAATTGATGTAAATTGATAAACATATCGATATATATATATATATGATTTTTTTTGTAAACGTAAAGGGAAATAATTGTTAGCCACAAATTCTGAACAGAAAGTATACATATTCTGAGCTTTTTACTTTCGAAAATAACTTCTTAAAATGCAACGAGTTCATGAGTCTGAAGAACGTAATGGTCATACACCCCCTCCACCCTATACGCTGGTTGACCAGTTCATTGGTGGTAGTACGACTCAAGTAAGCGTTTTGTGGCTTGGCTATGCTTCAAAAGTTTTTTTTTTTTTTTTTTCTTTATCCTGGTGGGTCCGTTAAAAAAAAAAAAATCTAACGATCTATTGAAAAAAATATATAACGATCTATTGAAAAATATATATATATATTTTTTTTTTAAAGACCCGACAACATTCACAAAATCCACAAAGTCAATACTCGGAAAACTCACCAGACTCTGACTTTCGTCTGGCTCAAAAACTTCAAGACGAGGAATATGCTCGCTGGGCAGAATCTAATCGGCAACAGGAACTGGTATCCAATGTTGGCGAATCGTCTATCGACCATTTTCATTCACGAGTAATTCCTCCTATACCTGAAAATTATCGATGCAATCATCATCTTCCTTATCAAAGCAATTTAATTCAAAACCCACAACCACAACAACAATACCCAATAATTTATGCATCTCCAAATCAACCTCCCCTACCTTACAATCAACCTGATCCTTACATTAGTAATGGTGTTGGAGGAAATTTACAATATTATGGAAGTTTGAATCAAGATCGATCTGGTAATCTTCTTATTCGATTTGATTATTCGATTTGATTATTATAATTATTAAAAATTGTTAGATTATTAAATTTTGTTCTATTTTATATTCATAATATTCATAATATTCATAGCTTATTATCAATTACCACGCCCTTATCCATATCATAATAATTATCAAACTACCCAACCACAAACTTCATATCACACTATTGATGATGATGATAATACAGCTTCAGGATGCCTAACTGGATTGTATGAACGTTTCATTTCTGTTATTTTAATTTTAATAGTGATTGGTTTTGTTTCCATGTTTGTGAACGATTTTTGACCGTTTAAAGGTCTTTTTTGGATATTAAATGTTATTGTCAAATTGGCATTGGCTATTAGTTTGTTCAAATTCTCACATATTTCTTTTTTTTCCTTTTCTCGTTTGGGAATTCCTGACGAATTATTAGCTCTTTGGCAACTTGCTTATTTTTTATCTGTACCCTATACGATGACTAAGAATTTCAAAATGACTTACATCCTGGAAAAGTTCCTTAATTTTCGCGAGAATGCCTGATGGTTTCTGATCTTGCTATTTTTATACTGTATATATAGAAAAAAAAACTATTTTGCATTCATTGAAAATGAATTATAAAATTGGACATTTAGATTTTTTTAAATACAATATATTATTCAAATTTTGATAATTCACTCATTTTAGTCTTTATTGATATTTGTTTTCGTTTCGGTATACATAAAGGGTATATCGCAAATTCACGTGATATAAACACAGTAGGAAAAATAAAGATTGATTATTTTTTCTGTGTATCCAAGTCGGTGTAAGTCGGTGCGGGAAAGTATGTTGCTATTTTATTCGGTGTATTGTTCTTTGAAAGTTTTCAAACAGATTATCAGCAAGTTTCGTGCAGGTTTTTTCACTTTCTTCTAATATTGATAATAAGTCATGTTTTGGTCAAAGACATGACATCATTTATGTCAACCGTTGATAATCTTTTTAATAAGCAAATTTCCTAGTTTTGATATTTTAAAATAAAAATTGGTTCCCCTGTAGTACTAGCATTTATTTGGTAAATACTGGATGTTACAAGTTAGCACAAGGACAAACAACGCCATTTGAACATATAAAGAATCGGATCCATAAGTTTCTAATCATCATTAGGACTTCAGATTTCACCATTATGCTTCTCTTTTTCTTTGAAACTATTTCGTTGTATGGATTTTTTCACCAAGTTCATTGAAACCCGTTAATGTTAATTTCCAGCCTTATTATATTATATTATATTGAAACACATTTAGGCATTATCACAATTGAGATCTTTGAGATCTTAGGGAGAAATACGCCATGTAAAATCATCAAAGACCAATAATTAATGATGCATCGACCAATCATTTAAAGAAAATTACGCCGTGTTATCATTTAATGTTTCGCAAGATTTTAAAGCCACATTAATTTCGTGGCATGCATAAGAATAGTCCATTATTATCGTTATGTATCGTTATGTATCGGTATGTAACTATCGGTATGTACTATATATATTTCTAAGGTCAATGCACCGATGACACATTCCTTTTAGACAAAGATAAAAAAAACAACGAAAGTTTTAAAGTACGCCGCAATTGCTTTCGATTTGACTGCAAATCAATGAGCACCCGTACATAAAAAGGAAATTTCAATTCACTTAACGCTAAATTTGAGAACCTTTTTTAGGTTACAGGTCTATAATTTATCCAAAACGGTAAAACCGAATTCGTGACTTCTTACAATGTACTCGTACAAGAAAGCTATTAGAATCATTAGAATCATTCCCTATTATTAGATAACACAAAATTGCGGTTCACGTGATATAAGAAATTAGGTAATTACTGTACGCATTAACTGTACGTACGTATTAAATTGTCATCACATGTTAGTTAGCCAAATCATTTTTTTAGAAAATGGTTCTCAAATTGAAACTATTGATTGTTAATTCGGATTAGACAATAATTTTTACCTAAGAAATATGGTATAGTATGTTTGCCCAAATTATCACGATTCATAAAGTAATTTAAAAGGGTTTTGTTCATTTTCATCGAACCTGATCATAGTTAGTATCAGTAGGTGTGTACGAATTTTTAGGTTACGTAGGACAACTGTACTCGTGTTCTGGGGCCTACAAAAGTTCTCATTCTTGTTGTTTAAATTACTTCTTTATTACGATAAAAAATGATCTTTGCATGATGCTCTGTAATGCTGAGTCTAAAACTGCATTTAAATAAATACATATCGAATATAATCATTTTTAGTTAATAAAAAAACTGATTTACAAAGCGTTTTAAAGATTGCCTTTTAAAAAAAATATATATTAAAAATGGCTGGGATTATAGTAAATCATATAGTAAATCATATTTTTAATTTGTAAGATTTACTTAACATTTAAGAAGTGTCCAAGCGATAAATGATAAGATTAAAGACATAAATAGTTATCCTTTTGATTTGTTACACTAACAACAATTTGAAATTCGTGGATAAATTTGGATAGTAAAATAATAAAGATCTAGGGTAGCGGTAGTGTAAAAGATTCCTCCTCATTTTATCATCATAGAATTCGAAGAATTCCCCCCTTTTGGTCCATTACGTCTTATCTATATAAATTTAGCAATAGCATATGTACTTGCGTACTATGTATCATTAAAAAACAAAGTTTGAGACTTAAAAGGTTCGCGATATTGTAATAACTGCTTTCAGACACTGTACACCCTTAATGGGTTCATTAGATCAAAAGGTTTACCATATTTCGTTATGTAAGGTGCTACATTCTACGTGATAATTTATTAGAAAAGACGTTTCTACTAATGCATTGTCACGAGATAATTGTTATGTTCTATCAATGTCAAAAAAGCTGCAATCACATTATTGAACTTTTCTTGTTTTAAAAAATCAATTATATCAGTTACCTTGCAAAATACCATAATGATAGATTTGAAACCGTTACAAATAAAAAGGGGTACGCACAAATCAAGGAGACCTTAGACAGCAAGTCTTTTACAGTGCGCGACACCTAATCACGTCCAAAATAACTAATTGTTTGAAACAAAAAAAAAAACGTTTTATATTTATAATCAAGAAAAATGTTATTTATAGAATTCTTTTTAAAATAAAATGTATATTTACTACTCTATTATTAATTTACATTATTAAAATTCTAGCATTGATTTACATAAGTATGTGTCTGAATTTTTCAGAAATCGAACGCCAACCAAAAAAAAAAAAAAAAAAAAAAAAACCTTCTCGCATAGATGACTAATCGATTGATCAGATGGTGCCAAATTTCTAAAAAAAATTAAAGCTTCGATTAAGTCTTAGAATATGACCTAGTTTTTTAAAATATTTGATTAGCATATTAGTCACATGTGCATGAAGTCACTTTCTGTCATATGATACTTGAATCTTGGTACTTGTGGCTCCGGTTTATTTAACTATTTTTAAAATGTTATTACGAAATAACGCTCGTGAGCGTTATTGAGTCGCATCCAAACAATTTAAAACACGGTAAGCTCCAAATATGCGGCGTCCTGACATCATGCGCGCCTTGTATACATCAAAAAAAATTAGCCCCTTTATTTCGAAATAACGCACAAATAACACGCATTTCTACTCTACAAAAACTATTACATTATACATTTATACTACAATTATACAGTAAAATTTAAATAACTTTAATTTAATATTAACGATCTAAATTGATTCGGAAATCACATGATTAATTATCGAAATAGTGGGTATGGGCGTTATTTCGAATTTCGGCCCGAATTAAGCTTAATTCGGGCCGAAATTCGAAATAACGCCCATGCCCACTATTTCGAGAATTTAAGGTATATTACTGTAATTAATTGATATATACAGTAAAAAGAGACCAAATTTAACAAAAAAGTTTTGTGAAAAATTGATTTTTAAATTATAAGGTAAATGGGGGTATAATGGCGCATGGGGGTAATTTGGCGCACTGAAAATAACTCGTGAAAACAAGATTTTTTACTAAGCAAGTCGAACTTCATCCACTAAGTAAAGTTATTGAAAATACCATTTATTAGATACATTCAAATTTGATATGATTTGGTTAATTTTTCATTAATCGATTTTCACGTTTTACGTCCTGGGGCGGAAATTTTTGCCTTTTGTACCTAACGTATAATGTGAAAATTGATTAATAAAAAATTAGCCAAATCGCACCAAAATTTGAAGTTATCCATAAAACGATATTCCCAATAACTTTACTTAGTGTATGAAATTTGATTTGTTTAGTAAGAAATCCTGCTTGTATTGTGTAAAACGTCTATTTGCTATAGAAAATTGATGTACATATATACGCTATGTATTGTGATGCTCTAATAAAAACGATGCGCCAAATTACCCTTCAAATTTAAATTTTCACTTTTTTCAATGGTTCTAAACGAATAATAAAATAACTTGTATTTTATTATAAATATTGTCCTTTTTTTTTATTTAATTAAAGTATATGAGTGGAGGTATAAGCTCTATAAACTTTATAAATATTCAACTTTTTTAGAAGAATTTTACTATTAACAATTCTTAAGTGTGTCAAATTACCTCCCTTTACCTTAAATTTTATAACAAATTATTATTATTTTTTTTTGGTATTAAGGTAACCTCTTGGTCAAGTGTATTTTATTGTGTTAGGATAGTTATTATATATATTTGAAGAGTATATTTAGCCATATCTGTGTTTTTTGAGAGTCTATTTAAGTAGTTTGCCTATTACTAAATTCTATACTAGTTGTTATACTTGCAACTCAACTGGGAGGTTACCTATTGTAATATAACAAGTTGACTCTTGGTTAACAAGTTATACTACTTGACTTAACATATAAAAGTAGTTAAGAAATGTGTTTTATATAATTTTATAATAGAAAATAATTTATAAGAAGATAAAATATTGTTGACTTATTGCTAATGCAACCTTAAAAATAAAACAAAAATCTAAAAACTAAACAAAAATACTATGAAATAACTAAACAAAAATCAAAAATAAATAAATTTACTCGAGTATAAATCAAAAATATCAAAATAAAAATAATAATTTCACTATAACAATACAATAA